CCCCGCCGCCGCCGCCATGAGTGGCCCCTACCCGGAGGAGAGCTGCGCCGAGCGCCCCGAGTGCAAAAGTAAATCGCCAACTTTGCTGTCCTCCTACTGCATCGACAGCATCCTGGGCCGGCGCAGCCCCTGCAAGGTGCGGCTGCTCGGCGCCGCGCCCAGCCTGCCCGCCGTCGCCGCCCGCCCCGACACCGACAAGGCCGCCCAAGGTAAGCCCGGCCGCCCCCCGCCTCCCTTTCCTCGGGCGTCGGGCAAGGGCCGCTCCCCCGGCTCCTTCCCGCCCCGCCGACCCCCCCGCCGCTCGGCCCCCGCAACTCCGCTGCCCGCCCGCCCTGCAGCCGCCGCCGTTATCCCGTTACCCGGCTGGCTAGTGGCTGCCGGGGAGCACGGCCAGAGCCGTGCCCGGAATTCAGTCCGGTTAATTCCGCGCAGGTCGGGTACCGCCGCCGCGGGCTGCTCTTGCTTTCGATACGTGCGTAATTGTCTCCTGCTAAAATAACCCGGCGAGAGCCGCGATCCCCGCGGGAAAGGGCTCTCCCGTTCGCCCTAGACCTCTAACGGGTCCCGGCGAGGGAGCCAGGGGCCGCGCCTGGCAGCGGGCAGGGAGGGAATAACGGGGCGCCGGCAGCCGCCGCCCCCGGCCCGAAGTTGGGAGCAGCCCCTCCGGGAGCCCGGCGGGGCAGGTCCCGGGGACGGCCTCCCTCCCGCTGTCCCCCGTTTCCCCGGTGTCCACAACCCGGTGGGTTTCTTTCCTCCAAAATCAAAAGGAAACTTGGGGGTGGGGGGCGAGAGGAGACCATAGGAGGGAGGAGCACAAAAATAAAATTCAATTTAATAACAAACAAACAAAAAAAGAGCGGAGAAGCCCCGGCCGCCCCTCGGGCAGGGTCATCGGGGCCGGCGCTGCCCCGCCGTGCGGGACGGGGCCCGGCGGTGGCCGGTGCCGGGGTCTGTCCCGTTCCCCGGAGCCTGTCCTGCCGCTGAGCGGGGCGCCCAGCCGGGGTCACCGCCCGGGTGGCGTTTCTGCCCCGGCCGGGAGCTGTGGGGCGGGCGGGGGCCGGTCTGAGGGTACGGGGGAAGCGTGGGGGGGTCCTATCTCGGTGCGGGGTGGGAAGCTGCAGGGATGGGGTCTTGCCCTGCGCTCTTCGCGCTGATCCCACTGACCGTGTCTCTCTTTCTCTTCCCCTCCTCTCCTTCTCTCTTCCCTCCTCACCCCTCTCCCCCACCTCCTGTCCGACGCTCCCTATACCCTCCTCCCGGCGCAGGGTCCCCCAAGGGCAGCCCCCCTTTCGAGCCGGCCGAGCTGCACCTGCCCCCTAAACTGCGCCGGCTCTACGGGCCGGGCGGGGGCCGGCTGCTGCCGCCGGGGGCGGCGGGGCCGCGGGGGGACCGGCCGGAGGGGCGGCCGGAGGGGGGCGCCGGCCCGGTGCCTGCCGCCGCCCCGTGGGACACGCTGAAGATCAGCCAGGCCCCCCAGGTCAGCATCAGCCGCAGCAAGAGCTACCGAGAAAACGCGCCCTTCGCGGCGCCGCCGCCCGCCCGGGACGAGCTGGGCAGCCCCGCCGCACACGTCGAGGAACGGCCGGGCCCCGCCGCCCCGGCCGCCGAGGAGGAAGAAGAGGAGGAGGACGAAGAGATGCTGGAGGAGGAGGACGAGGAGGAAGAGGAGCTGGAGGATGACGAGGAGGAGGAGCTGCTGGGAGAGGACGGCGGGGGGCTGCTGAAGGAAGCCCGCCGGGGCGCCGCTGCGGCCCCCGGGGCGGAGGGCGGGGATCTGTCCCCCAAAGAGGAGCTGCTGCTGCACCCCGAGGACGGCGAGGGCAAGGACGGCGAGGAGAGCGTCTGCCTCTCGGCCGGCAGCGACTCCGAGGAGGGGCTGCTCAAGAGGAAGCAGCGCCGCTACCGCACCACCTTCACCAGCTACCAGCTGGAGGAGCTGGAGAGGGCCTTCCAGAAAACCCACTACCCCGACGTCTTCACCAGGTACCGGCGCCGGAGCCCCGGCCGAGCGCGGAGCGGGCGAACCCCGCGGGGGGACGGGACGGGGCCGCGATCTGCTGCACCCCGTCTCCAAACGGGGTGACTCCAGCCCTGGGCAACCCGAGGGGACGGGGGAGCAGGTCCGGGTTCCCGGGGGGACCCAGGGCAGGCAGCGCCGGGCAGGCTCGCCCGGAGGCAGCCGCCGGAGCGCTATTTTTACCCGCCGCCCTCCTCCCCCCTCGCCGCGGCCGCCGCCGGGATCGGTTACGCGCTCCCCGTGGGGCTGGACCCCGGCCCGGCCCGGGGAAGCCCCGGCGGGGGCCGACATCAAAGCGCCGCTGCCTAAAAATACCGGCCCGGCACGTCGGGGCCTCTCGCTGCCCAGAGCTGCCCCCGAGGGGCCCGGCCCGGCTCTACCCGCGCTTCGGGAGGCGTTTTCCCGCTGAAAACGGGAGCCGCGGGGTGCGGGTCCGGCCGGCGGCGGCTCCGCGGGAGGCGGGCGGGGAGCGAAGCGGAGCCACCGGCCCCGCTCCCGCGCTGCCGGAAAGTAACCCCCCTCCTCTGTAGCCCGGAGGAGGGTTGAGACTCCAAAGCCCGTGATTTTCGATCGGCGAGACTCCCCTCCCCCCGTTTTCTCGTTTGTTTTCTCGGAGAGGGGGCCGTGGGGGCGTTTTGTGTGTGTGTGTCCCCCCCCCCGCGATGCTGCGCATCGCCCGTGGGACTCACCTCGGGGCCGGCCGCGGGAGCACCTGCTCGTGGGGGGGGTGGTATAGGAAAATACCACCCTTTTATTTTTTTGTTGTTTGGGGTTTTTTTTTTCGGTGTTTTTACGGCTTTGGCTTTTCCGGCGGGGCTCCCCAGGCCCGGCGGCAGCGGCGGGGCCCCGGCTCCGCTGGGAAACGCTCCTCTTTTGGGTGCGGAGCTGATGAGCGGTTTTCTAACGCCTTAATGGTTTCCGATTTGCCTTAATTGTGGCAATGCAAACAGCAGCGTGTGGCGGCTCAGCCCCCCCCCCCCAGCCCCGCGTCGCCGTTGCGGCGGGGACCGGCTGAATTTGGGGAGCGGCGGAGAGAGGGGTGCCAAAACTCGGGGAGTCCTGTCGGGCGGCCGGGCCGGCTTCGGCGAGCGGGAGCCGGGCCGAGGGGCGGCGGGAGAGCGGTGTCCCGCTTCCCCCGGGACAGCGGGATTTGGGGCCCGTTTTGGGGCTGGGGGCGCAGAGCCGCGGGCTGGGGGGCGGCCGGTGCCCCGGGCTGACGGCGGCGTGTGTGTCTCCCCCCCCAGGGAGGAGCTGGCCATGAGGCTCGATCTGACCGAAGCCCGAGTGCAGGTGAGTGGCGGCGGCGGCGGGACCGGGGCCGGGAAGCGGAGCGTCCCTCGGGGTGAAGGAAAGGGAGGGGGGGGGGCGCCCCGGGGAGAGGGGGGGCGAGGGGGTGTCCCCGGGCCTCCCTGGCCCCCGGCAGGGCCGAGCCGTCGGCTGGCGGAACCCCGCGTGATTAAAAGCCCCACGGGGCTCCGGTTGTTAGCGAGACCCGCTCGGCCGCAAGCCGGGTATTTGGCTGCCATCAAATCTCCAATCGGGCTTCATAAAAGCCCACTTAGCGCTAGAACAAACAGGGCCATTTGAAGGCGAAATGTTGTTTGATTTCCTCTCCCGCCCGCACAAGGAGCTGGCTAATGCTATTTGATTTCCCATTTTTGATAGCAATAAGCCTGCATTGATCTAATAGCGAGTGAGTGCAATGCTATTAAAGGTGTTTGCCGCCCCATACCAGAGTGCATTTCCCAACCCGGGTCTCATAACCAAAGAGACGATAAACATTGGGATGCCCTGATTGCCAACAGAAAACAGATGTCTCTGGGTTTGAAGCTGAGCAAATCACTTTACAGTTAAAATCGGGCGCTGATAAAGCATAATAAATTCCATATGGCTCATTTAATACACAACAGCTTCTTGCATTAGAGGGGCTAATGATGAGATTTGTCCCCTCCTTTCTGTTGACACATTTCTCCATTGTCAAACAGAGATGTGACAGCAAATCAGTATTTTCAGCTCAGGGGAACAAGTCGTGGGAAAGTTAAATAACTTTTAAAAAAGAAAGACACCCCCTTTCTCTCTCCTCTATTCACGGGAGAAGATGTAATTAAGGGAATATGAATTATGAGAGTCCCTTCGTTTACCTTCGGGTGTACTCAGACTTATTAATTCAATAAGGGGGAATTGCGGCGAGGACAGCTTGCTAATTGAGTTTTAGCTGGGAGAGACGCTCCCTTCGTGCCAGGCTGTTGGCTTCCCCGCGAACGCGATGCCTCTTCTTGCGTGGGTACCCAGATGGGCGCGCGTGGAGATCAGTTCCCGCATTACAACTGTCTGGAGAGCCCCGCAGCGCTGCTGCCATTCCCCATTCCCGGAGAGAAGGGATTTCACGCTGAGCTTACAAAGCCGACCCCGACAGGGGAAACTCAGCCCACACCGGCCCGAAAAAAATTGACAAACGCGTGTCCCTCTCAAAGTCTCTCTCCGTGGGTGCGTGTGACGCTTCGCACTTGGTTATTAAGCGAATATTTTCATTTCCTTTGAAATGCGGAATTTTATTTTTGTCCTCTACCTCTTTCCTGTTTTAAGCCCCTGTTAGTTCACGATTTTTCCCTCGGGGGAGGGGAAAGGGGAGAGCAACGCCGCGGCGTCCGAACTAACTTTCGTAAAATAAATCTTGAAAGGGCAGCCTGGGAACGTATATTTGCTGCTTCGGTTGCCTCGCAAATTATTTTTTCGTTTCACACGTCAGTGAAATCACGATTTATTTTTTTTCACTCTAAATCTCAAGGAGGTGGGGTGAAAAAGAAAAAAAAAAAAAGACCTCCCCGATCCCCAAACGAAATAATTTG